TCTGGCCAAAGGAACTAGGGAACAGAGCCTTGGCAAGTACGGCCACCAGGGAAAGGACCAGGGAAACAAGCCAGGGAAGAGGAACCTCAGATTCTGAGCATAAAAGCCCACATCCCTGGCTGACCTCTGACCTACTTGTGCATAAGGCAAAAGGACATCAGCCTGCAGCCAAGGCTTGAAGAACTGAATGGATCTAAGCAAACGTCCACCACAGGTCTTAAAACGACAGTCTGCATTTTAAAGCTACACAAGTTAACTGCTTGCTAAAACAAAATCACTCATCAGAGCAGTATAAAAGAATGCAGAGTCGGGGCGCCTGGGTGGCTCAGTGGGTTAAAGCCCCTGCCTTCGGCTCGGGTCATGATCCCAGGGTCCTGGGATCGAGCCTCATATCGGGCTCTCTGCTCAGTGGGAAGCCTGCCTCCTCCTCCTCCTCTCTCTCTCTCTCTCTCTCTCTCTCTGCCTGCTTGTGATCTTTGTCTGTCAAATAAATAAATAAAATCTTTAAAAAAAAAAAAAGAATGCAGAGTCTATGTAACATTTACAGTGTCCAAAACAAAACCCTAAGTTAAAAGGTCACATTATAGAGCCAGAAAATGTGACACATTCCTAAGAGAAAACAATCAAGAGATGCCAACCCTAAAATGCTGGAATTATCAGAAAAGAGGATTAAAGGATCTACTGTTACTGTACTGTGCAAGAAAATGGAAAACACGTATGTAAGGAAAGACAAAACAAAAGCAGAAATCCCAGCTAAAAAACAAAACACACATAAAAGAACCAGATGGAAATGTCAGAGGTGAAAAATACATGAACTAAATTTACCAAATGGACTTAATGACAGAATGGAGTTGATGGAGAAAAGAGTCAATGAACTTGAAGGAGGATCAATGTGAAGAAAAATGACGACTGAAAAATAATGAACAAAAACGAGGGCACTGGGGATAAGTGGGGACATGTCGAAGACCGTGTTCAACAGCAGGCATTTGAAAACTATGGGCCACAGGTCAACCTGGCTCCGCACCTGGTTTTAAAATAAGCTTTTGGGGCACTTGGGTGTCTCAGTGGGTTAAGCCTCTGCCTTCGGCTCAGGTCATGATCCCAGGGTCCTGGGATCGAGCCCCACATCGCGCTCTCGCTCAGCAGGGAACCTGCTTCCTCCTCTCTCTCTGCCTGCCTCTCTGCCTACTTGTGATCTCTGTCTGTCAAATAAATAAATAAAATCTTAAAAAAAAAAAGTGACAGAAATAGTAAACATATGGATGAATATGAGACACTTTTTTTTTCTTAATTTACTTAAAACTTAAATTCGTAACATACTACATACATACATACATAATAATCAAAGGTTTAAATCTCTTCCTACATTCTTACTGAAAACACACCCACTTGTACCTTATAATCATTAGAAATCCTTCTGGTGTTGCTGCTGCTCTGTCCCCTTAAGTGACTATAGAAGGTAGGAAATCTGATAGTGGACACTTTAGGACTGTCTCGGGCTGAAGACACACGTGATAAATACCTCTGGACAAGAGAATGTTCCCTGAAATCCTGCCGTAAGAAAGTCATACTGCTGCTTCTTTAGAAACCTAGAGTAAATTCATATGAAAGCGGCAAAGCAATATAGGGGCACAGACTCCGATAATGATGTGTAAAACTGCTCTAAAAGAATGAAGTCCAGGGCGCCTGGGGGGCTCAGTCAGATGAGCATCTAACTCTTGGTTTTGGCTGAGCTCGTGATCTCAGGGTCGTGAGACAGAGCCCCGCAATGGGCTCTGTGCTCAGTGAGTGTGCTTGAGGATTCTCCCTCCTCCTCTCTCCCTCCCTCCCCCTGCTGTGTGTGCCCACGCTCACTCTCGCCCGTGCTCTCTCTCTCTCGCTCACTTTCTCTCTCTCTCAAATAAAGAAATAAATAAATCTTTAAAAGAATTAAGTCCATTAATTTAAAAAAAAAAAAAAAACTAAGTAAGAAGGCATGGCCATTCAACCCCATGTGACGAACTCTGACTTTTTCAAGTAACCTTCTACTTGGCAATGTAGCACAATATGGGGGCTCCTGGAGTTGTGGTCCCTGTGGCCCTGACCATTCATTACATCATGGCATTTTATTTCCCCCCCTCCACTAAGTTATAAATTCTTTGAAATGCTGTGTCTGTCGTATCTGTTCTAGTTTTTCTGGAGCACCTAGTATGTACTTGTTACTTTCAAACCAAGAACTACTTCCAGGTTAACTGGCCCTATAACAGACAGGGGTCCTGCAAAGAGTTCCTACCACGGATTCCATTTTCTCAGCATGCCCTCCATGATCTACATTTCAAGTATCACACTCTCCAACCACATCCTCCTGTCCTCCGAAACACAACCTCTTGTACCTCCCCAACAATTCCTCAATCCAACTAAGATTTATGGTCTGTTCATCAAACATTTCCACCATCCTTTGCTCCCTTCATAAGCCCCCAGCCCCAGTCAAGCTTGGAGTCCGTGGTCCCTCATTATCCCCGCATCCCACATCCCTCCAACCCCCTTTATGGGGGTTGCCTGGCAAAATCCAACCCTGGGTAAACCAAACACTCTGCCTCCTTCTTGCTTGTAGGTTGCTGGATAAACAACTGTCCCGTTGCTCCGGGCCTCATGGTCAACTTATCATCATCCTCAGGTGAACCATTAGTCCCACCCTGATCCATCCACTTTCCCAAGCTCCTAGACAACTATATCCTGTGTTTGTGTTCTCTTCAAACCGCCAATGCCTCTCATTCTCAGTTCACAGTCTTGCCTCCTTTCACTGAGAAAGCAGCATCAGGAAAGAAATTTCCATAAGACCTGAAGCCACATTTACTCACTTAGCAGCAACTGTCCCCTAGACTCTGCATTCCCTCCTATCCTTGATCCCATATAACCCACCCTATATAACCTATAGGATACATAAGATTAGCCTGTATATAACCTATATATCCTTTATAACCCATAGGCTTGTGGTTAGAGTCTATTCCCCTCAGCCCTTTTAATAACCCACTAGTATGAATAAATGTCTCCTCTTGCCTCTTCATTAGCAAAATTTCCCTCTACTGGATCAGTTCTGTCAACATACAGAGATGCTGTCATTTCTCTCATCTTAAACAACATTTTCCACTCCACACCCCCCTCCAGGTACTGTCCCAGGTCTCTGTTCCCCACTGGAGTAGTCTCCATGCACTATTTCCCAACTTCTATTTGAACAAGTCTTGTTCCCACTAATCTGCTAAAACTGCTAGTTAAGACACCACCTTGCTAATTCCAACGGTAACCTCTTAGACCTGACTTTACTCAACCTGTTTGCCATAGCTGATCCCCTCCCTGAAAACTTTCTTCACCTGACTTCTAGAATCCCATCCTCACTGGTTTTCCTCCTCAACACCCAACACTAGAATGCTCAACCTCAGAACCACCCCCCCTTCCCTATCTATACTTACCAAGAGGTCACATTCAGATTTACGGCTTAAAATAACATCTGTATAAGGAAGACTCCCACATGTTTATCTGCAATCTCTTCAAGGAGCTCCACACTCCTAGATCTAACTGCCTACCTGACACCTCCACATGGGTGCCCAATAAATCCCCCCCAATTCAGTACATCCAAATGGAACTCATGATCTCCCCTCCAAACCTGGTACTTCTGAAGCCTTCCCAATCTCAGGAAATGGCAAACCCATCTTTCTGTTTCCTCGGGCCGACATCTCACAATCATCCGTGATTCCTCCCCTTCTCTACAAACTCACATCCAAATCTTCAGGAGATCTAGTCTGGCACTACCTTCAAAAATACACACTGAACCTGACCATTCTTCATGATCATGTTACTGCCACCCTAGTGCCAGCAACATCTCTAGGCTCTTCCTTTGCCTCTTTTCCCATACACATCTCTTCTGAATCACACTCCACAAGGCCCTACATCCTCTGATGCCCCACTACCCGTCACTGACCTCAATCTCCTCCAATGCTTCCCCTTGACCACACCTGCTATGGGCTCAATTATGTCCCCCACAAAACTCACATGAAGTCTTAACCCCAAGTAAGTAAGAATGTGACTGTACAGTTCACTCCTTAACAACGTGGGCTCTAGGGGCACCAACTTTTCCCCTTATGCAGTTAAAAATCCACATGTAACTTTTGGCTCCTCCAAACTTAACTAAAAGCCTACCACTGACCGGAAGCCTTACCAATAACAAGCAATTAACATGTATTTTGTATGTTTTATGTATTATATATAGTATTCTTAAAATATCTTAATTTTTTCAATATTTCAAGGCTACACAGTTTATCTGTAAGTTTTTCAAGTTGTCACACATCTCCAAAAAATTTTCCAATGTTCTTATTGAAAAACAATCCATATAGAAATGGACCTCCACAGTTCAAATCCTTTTTTGTTTTTCAAGTGTCAACTACATTTGGCGATCTGACCTTGAAAGAGATAATTAAGGTTAAATAAGGCCATTAGGGAGGGCCCTCAGCCAATACAACTGGTGTCCTTACAAGAAGAGGAGATAAGGACCCTCATGCAGAAACCAGGTGAAGACCTAGAAAGGACAGCCATCTGTATGCCAAGGACAGAGGCCTCAGAAGAATCAACCCTGCCCACACTTGGATGGAGGATTTTTGGCCTCCAGAACTGGAAGAAATCAATGCCGTTAGTTTAAGCCTGTGGTACTTCAGCTGTGGCAACTGAGCAGATTATCATCTGCCTCACCCCTGGCGGTTTCATTCACCTCCTGGCAGTTTCAGGAACACACTAGGCATAGGTGTCTTAGGGCCCGTGCAGTCACCTTCCCTCTAGGCAGGGTTGAGGGTTATACCAGGTCCACCCTCAGCTGTCGAAACCAAGGCCTGAGGACATTAAATGACTTGCCCAAATAAGACACAAAGAAAAGACAAAAATCACATTTTGTCTGTTTCTGCGATGTATGACAAACAGCTCTACAATCGACCAACACTAGATACAGAAAAAAAAATAAAGAAACCACTTACTTTTCGACCCAGAGCACTGAAACGAGCTTCACACCTCTCTTCTGTGCTTTGTCCCAAGTGCTCTGGTATCCGTCTTTGAACACAACATGAGTTACTTGTTTGTTAAAAGTTTTTGAAACCTGTAGAAAAAAAGGCAGAAAACACAATGCAAATTACCATTTATGAACAATTTCATAATTAATCAAAAAGGATACTTTATTCAATATTTGCCAAAAGGAAACATCTAAAACCCCTACCCCAGCAATTCCATTTCTCAAAATCTGTCACAGAGAACTATGCTACCAAAGGGATAATGCCGCTTAGAAAACAGATCTGCTCCAGTTAGGATGCTGTGTTACACACGTGTTCATCTCTGCTCCCTCACAAGAAAGCCTGACATAGAAAGAGCTCTACAAGGATAAAATGAGAGGTAATGTGGACAGGAGCTGGCAATGCCTTTTCAGTAGAGGAGAGAATGGAAGCTAAGTCAAATACTTAAGGACATTTAAGACTTCTACATCAGACATAAAATAAAACTCACAGGAAACAATACATGGAATACTTATGTAATTAACATTAAAAATATTTAATGTATTTGGAAGAAAATAACATTCATTTAAATCTGCAGAAGATACTGTGTTCAAGAAAGAATATCTAAGATGTGGGGGTCAGAGAACTAAAGAGCTCTTGGAAATTAAAAATATGATGACATAAGTAAAAAGAAGTCTATAGAAATGCTGGACACTAATAAAGTTGAGAAATTCTCCCCAAAGGACAACAAAAAGTCAAGGAGATGGATGCAACAGAAGATCAAGATATGAACATCAGCTCACGATCAGGAGAACCAAGAGCTAAGTAATAACAGTTGAAGAAATACAGGAATAGAGAAAATGGAAAAGAAATAATTCAAGAAAAATTTCTCAAATTAAAGGGCATGTGTTCTAGAGCAAAAGGACCCCCCAAGGGCCCAGCATGAAAATGAAAACAGAACCATATTAAGTATATCATTGTGAAATTCCAGTAGAGCTGGAGTAGAGAAAGATTTGACATTAAAAGAGAGGGTAAAGAAGTGGAGGTGAGGATAAATCACACTCAACACTGAGAAACTACAGTGAAATCAGACTTCCCAACAGCAACATGGAAGTCAGGAAACAATGGAGAAGTGCTTTCAAGGAAAAATAATATACACTTAGCATTTTACAGCCAACTAAAATACCAGTCAAAGGTAAAGAAAGGGGGCGCCTGGGTGGCTCAGTGGGTTAAAGCCTCTGCCTTCAGCTCAGGACATGATCCCAGGATCCTGGGATAGGGCCCGCATCGGGCTCTCTGCTCAGCGGGGATCCTGCTTCTTCCTCTCTCTCTCTCTGTCTGCCTCTCTGCCTACTTGTGGTCTCTCTCTCTGTCAAATAAATAAATAAAATCTTAAAAAAAAAAAAAAGGTAAAGAAAGGTATAATAAAGGCATGTTCAAACTCATGGTGTTCAAAAATTTACCTTTTACATGTCATCTGTCCAAAAGTGGAAATGGTCCAATACATCACTCTTTTAACAATATTTAATTTTGTCAAAGTAATACATGTATACTGTTTGGAAATAAAAAGGTACACACTAAAAGAAACATCTGAAAAAGGCTGTCTTAGAAAAACAGAATGAGAAGTGTAGAGCGAAGGATTGCTGGTTTCCCCTTGGTTGTACTATGAACCTCATGGCACTGCACATTTGCCCTTGTAAGCAACGCGTATGTATTGCTTTGATGAAATATAAATACTTATCTCTTTGTCTACCTACCTACCTACCTACCAGAAGGCCCCAGAGAGCTATTGAGACAGTAAGGGATTATTACTGAGCCAAGACTCTAGGTACACAACTAACACAACCAGACAGAGGAGTCTAGCATTCAGGGTCATGGTTTCCCTACAGCTTTTGTCATATTTAGCAAACAATGGGTAGCACTTCTAAATTCCTGAGGACAAGAGGGGCAAAAATTGGACTGCCAGCCTCAGAATGGGAGAAGAGAGTCTGGCAAAACCCTCATATCTTGTATGGTCACCCGAAGGGCTCATCCAGGAGTAAGGGTAAACCACAGTCATATTGGCCCTCACAGGTCTGCAGTCCAGTTTTAAGTCATATTCAACCCTGCAACTGGATTAAGATAATCCTGGATTATGAGCACTAAAAAGAAGACTGAAGTAAATATGAATCTCTTCTGAAGAAAGAGAATACAATTCCAGGTCTCAAATTAATTCCAAACTATTTTAAATACACACAATACTCAACCAGAAGAAACAACAACAACAAACAAAACATCAAGCTTATCTAGAGATGAGACAAGAACATAAACCACTAGATAAATCAAAAAGTAAAAGTAGACCTAGATACTGCAATCTACCCGACAAAGCCTTAGGGAATACGCTAAAACCCAGCTTAGGGAGAAATGTATAACCTAGAAGGCTGTCAAGAGTCTAGCTACAGGGGCACCTGGGTGGCTCAGTGGGTTAAGCCTCTGCCTTCAGCTCAGGTCATGGTCTCAGGGTCCTGGGATTGAGTCCCACGGCGGGCTCTCTGCTCTGCAGGGAGCCTGCTTCCTCCTCTCTCTCTCTGCTTGCCTCTCTGCCCACTTGTGATCTCTCTCTGTCAAATAAATAAAATCTTTAAAAAAAAAAAAAAAAGACTCTAGCTACACTAGTCCAAGGTACCGCTGCCTTGGCATACAGTTTTTTGGCCAAGCATTCTGCAGGAGTCTTAAACCAACACCAACCCTTCATGCAAGCACATAACCTAGATAACAGCCCCCAGAGTTATGAACAAATGTCATTTCCCCAATGGCCCTTTGAGAAACCAACTCCTCTACCTTCAAGGTCTTTCCCCTTGTGTGCCTCTTAGACAAGGCTCTGGAGCTACCAACAGCTCATTCTTTGGTTTGAATTGATTAACCCAGTCCTAGACTAGGAAGCTGAAAGCATTCCACCCATGGACTCTAGTAAAGACATATGGCTCAGGTCCTGCCATTCTCTCTGGCTGTCTCCTTGTGTGGCTCCTCAAGGGTTCATGGCATCAGGTACCTCCTCCAAGGCATGTAATAAACTTGTTTCAATTCCCTGATAGTCTGCTGTCTCACTGCTGCTCACTATTCAGCACCCTGGGTTCCACCTGACAAATGTTCATCTAACAACGTCACAACAAACATGCGTACAAAGAGTAAGGAGGCTAAATGTCAAAGCGCCCGTCTTGAAGAGCTGGAAAAAGAACAGCTAATCAAAACCAAAGAATGAATTAGAGGATTATAAAAATGAGGCCAGAATTAATAAAAAAGTAAAGGAGGATCAAGAACACCAAATTTTGGTTCTTCGGAAAAACTAACAAAATCAATAAAAACCCAAGTACATGTTAATAAGGAAAATAAGAGAAAAGACAAAGGTAACCAGTATCAGTATGAAGGGGGTCATCTCTATAGACTGTGAAGACATTAAAAAATTCAAACAGGATATTATGAATAGCTTTGATCCAATAAATTTGAAAATTTAGATGAAATGAATACATTTCTTTAAAAAAACTGCTTTCTAAAAGCATTCACAATAGGAAAAAATGAACACCCTGTAATTTTCAAACAGATGAAAAACTGTAACAAGAAGGTTTTGGTTTTTTTTTTCAAATTTTTATTTATCTTTAAAATTTCTTTTCAGTGCTCCAGAATTCAGTTTATGCACCACACCCAGTGCTCCATGCAATACGTGCCCTCCACAATACCCACCACCAGACTCACCCAACCTCCCACCCTTCTCCCCTCCAAAACCCTCAGTTCCTCAGAATCCACAGTCTCTCATGGTTTTTAAAAAATCAACAAAGAGGGGTGCCTGGGTGGCTCAGTGGGTTAAAGCCTCTGCCTTCAGCTCAGGTCATGACCCCAGGGTCCTGGGATCAAGCGCATGGCATCCTGCTCTCTGCTTAGCAGGGAGCCTGCTTCCTCCTCTCTCTCTGCCTGCTTCTCTGCCTACTTGTGATCTCAGGCTCTCAAATAAATAAATAAAATCTTAAAAAAAAAAAAAAATCAACAAAGAAAGCTCAAGGACTAGTTGGCTTCATTGGCTAATTACACCAAAAGTAATAAGTTAGAAAAAGTAATTTGAAAGATACCATTTATAATACCATGAAAAATGACCAAGAAATTATAAAACATTACTGAAACAAATTAAAGAAACCAAAATCAACAAAGGCATATAGGTTCATGGGTTGGAAGATTCAGTTTTGTAAAAACGTCAGTTGTCTCCATACTTTGGATCTACTCCATACTTTGGATCTACTCCATACTTTGGATCTACTCTACTTTGGATCTACTCCATACATACGGATCTACTTTTATCAATCCAATCCCATTCAAAATTTTTAAAAGCTGAGAAACTGATTCTAAAATATATGTGGAAATGCAAAAGGCAAAGAACAGCCAGGACACCCTGAAGGAAAAACAAGGAGACTTAGGAAGATTCATTATAAGCAGCAATTATGAAACCAGCCTATCTTTAGTACTGAACCACATGACAGCACTACCGGAACAGAAAAGGACGAGCCAGTATCGGTATCACTCCTTGAAATATTTGCAGGGGAAAAAGAAAAAACAAAATACCGGCAAACTGTTATCAACAAATACATAAAAATGATAACGCTTTCCCACCGCCTGAGTCTATTCCAGGACTGCAAAGTTAGTTAATGATAAAATAAATAGTTATTCACTATGTTAACAAAGTAAAAGAGAAACACCTTATGATCATCTCAATTATATGCAGAAAACACAACTGAGGACATTAAAAAGTTAATTCATGAAGAAAACTCTCAGCAAATTAGGATCTGAAAGTTGGTTAAAAAAAAAATTAGGCATATGATCTTATACATGTAATCTAAAAAACAAAACAGACTCATAAAAAACTGGTGGGTACCAGAGGGGACAGGAGTGGTGGACAAAATATGTGAAGATTAGAAAAGGTATGAACTTCCAGTTTTAAGCCCTGGAGATGGAAAGTATACCATAAGGAATATAATCAAGGATATTAAAATAACTTTGGTAACAGATCAGAACTAGACTTACTGGTGATCATTTCATAGCATACATAAATGTGGAATCACTATGTTCTAAACCCGAAATGAATACAATATTGTATGTCAACTATACTCCAATTTTAAAAACAAAACAAAAAAACTGCATTAGATGAAAATACAAAGTTTTCCCTTGAGCAGAGGAACCACACAAAATAAGTGTGCTCTATTCAACACAGGCCCTCACCAGTGCAGTATGTCCAGAAAAAGAAATAGAAAGATTACAATTAGAAAACAGACTGTCTATGCACATAATATTCAATTGTGTACATTCATAAGTCCCCAAAATGCCATATCCATGAGTTTGCTAAGTCTTCTGGACACAAGGTAGATGTGAAAAAATTATTTCTAGGTACCAGTAATAAGTTAGAAAAAGTAATTTGAAAGATACCATTTATAATACCATGAAAAATGACCAAGAAAATTATAAAACATTACTGAAAGAAATTAAAGAAACCAAAATCAACAAAGGCATATAGGTTCATGGGTTGGAAGATTCAGTTTTGTAAAAACGTCAGTTGTCTCCATACTTTGGATCTACTCCATACTTTGGATCTACTCCATACATACGGATCTACTTTTATCAATCCAATCCATTCAAAATTTTTAAAAGCTGAGAAACTGATTCTAAAATATATGTGGAAATGCAAAAGGCAAAGAACAGCCAGGACACCCTGAAGGAAAAACAAGGAGACTTAGGAAGATTCATTATAAGCAGCAATTATGACTGTGGTCTGTCATGAGAACAGATACTGAAAGATCCAGTTACCTGACCGATGACAAGCAAAGTCATTACTTCAGAGATGGGGTAAAGGATGGTCTTTTCAATAAATGGTGCTAAGATAAAAGACTATTCACGTGGGAAAAAAATGAAACTATTTCACATCATATATAAAAATTCCAGATATACAGTAAATCTAGATGTGAAAGGCAAAATGATAAAGCTTCTAGAAAATAAAGGGAGAAATCTTCGTAATCTTGGTACAGGCACAGTTGCTTTGTTTTTGTTTTTAAACAAAAGCTCACCATAAAGAAATAAACTATATTCCATTTATCAACAAAAGATACCATAAAGATGAAAAGACAAGTTACAGAGTTAGAAAATCTTGCAATTCATATGGCCAACAATGAGAGCGGGAATGCTTACCAATCAAGAAGAGAAGGAAAAACCCAATGGAACTAGGAGCTGGAGTCTTGAACAGGCTCCTCCAAATAAATATATGAAAACATGCAGGAAAATACAATTTCAAACCATGATGATGTGCCCCCAGAAACGCACCAAAGGGCTGAAAATAAAGACAAAACTAACTACAAATGGCAGTGGGGATCTCATCCACTGGCTGAAATGCACACAGTTTTCTGCAATGGTTGAATCCATTAGGAACCACTGCGAATTTTCTCAGAAGTGATAATGGTCTTTTTATCATACAGGAAAATTCCTTGTTCTTAGAGGTTACACACTGACAGTTTAGGGACAAATTTTATCTGTGACTCCCTTTCAAACAGTTTAGGAAAAGAAACACATATGCGTGTAAATCTACTATACAGAAGAGATGAAGACAAAGTACCTTAAGATGTTAACAATTACTGGATCGCTATGTTCCTTTTTATTTGAAAATTTTCTCAATTAAAAGTAAAAAGCAAAAAGATCCAAGAGATCGAAGATCTTAATACTAAAATACAACAGTCTTAAAGGCCATTCTGTCAAAAATAAAAAAAAAACAAAAACAAGCAAACAAAAAAGGCCATTCTGTCAGCTCCCACACCGCATGGCCTTTTTCTCAGCCAGTGTACCTTGTCTTTTCGCCCAAGTAGGTAGCAGGCATCAAAACAAGGAAACACCCTTTGCTTCCTACCTTCCAACGGATCGGAAAAGAAGGGGTCTTCTCAGGTTCACAAGAGCACCCTATCCCTACATGTTCCATACTCTCCACTCCGGTCTACGGTGCCTGTCAGGGGAGGGCCTAGCAGGAGTCAGACAAGATTTCGGGGCACCCTCTCTGCCCATGGCTCAATGCCCCTTTCTGTTTTATAGCCTGGATGCCTCTCTCGCCTCACCCTCAACTCTGGCCCTGCCTTCACCCATCTTCTTGCCGTATTAATCTCTGCCTTTACCCAGCCTGTCGTGCTCCCCCGCACCCCCCATCACCCGCACACGTGAATACACTTTGCTCACAGTTCAAGAGCCTCTGAGAGCAGCCCGTCTTCACCACCTCCATTCCTCATATCGCATTCACTTCTGGGCTAATGTCCAATCCTTTCACCCATGTCACTGAAAACTACACTCATCCACAACCTTACAGTTTTCAAACCTAAAGGACACTTGCCAGTCTCAACTTGTCTGAAGATTGTGCATTGCTTAATTTTTCTTTTTTTTAAGATTTTATTTATTTGACAGAGAGAGATCACAAGCAGGCAGAGAGGCAGGCAGAGAGAGAGGGGGAAGCAGGCTCCCTGCTGAGCAGAGAGCCAGATATGGGGCTCGATCCCAGGACCCGGAGACCATGACCCCGGCCAAAGGCAGAGGCTTCAACCCACTGAGCCACCCAGGCGCCCCTGCATTGCTTTAAAATTCCATCTCTGAAGTACATGCCTCCTCGGACTTCCAGACTTAGTTTTCCAGAATTTCCTGGAATTCCTCCGTTGTCCCCAGGTTCCCTGCTCCCATCACCCGCCCTTCAAGTACTAAATAGGCTCCCCCTCAGCCCCTTTCATTCTAACCACCTGAGTCATTCCCACAGCAGTGGTTTCACCTGACCCACAGGGTCTCGACCCCTACAATATTATCTCCAGCCTCAACTAAATCAAATTCCAGATCTGTGTATCTAATTGTCCGTCAGATGTTTTCAGTGTGCTCAAATTCACAATCTTTCCCTTAAAAACCTTTCCTTTTCCTGTATTTCTCACTTTGGTCAACAGCATCCTGCATCCAATTAACCAGTGTCAGAATCCACATTTCTAGGCTAGTCTTAGAACCAACTGTTCTCAATTTCTTCTGCATCCTGGTTCACCCCTCCTCCACCACGCCGCTCACCCACTGTCTTCCTTGTTCTTCACCCCGCATGTTCTACATACGAGTTCCCAAAATGAGAAAATACAAGTATTTCTCATTAGGTATCAGAGGACTGCCATATGGAGCAATGGTAAAATTAATTTCTTACCTTTGCCCCCATATCCACAAGTTGGTTTGTAAATGTCTTTGAATAATTTTCCGTTCCATTCACCGACCAGACTTCAACGTAGGCCACTACATCTGAAAATAAACAAGATACTAGCATGAAATATATCTGAAATTCTAGCAACTCTCCCCAAGGAGTTCAATAGATGTTTATCCTGTTCTATTTACATTCAAAAGTAAATTCAAAGCTTCTTCTATCAAAAGCCTCTTCAAAATAGCATTAGTGCCATTAAGGTTCTTAAAACTCCAAGCAAAGAACAACTTCATTAATACACACACGGAGGCTTAACTTTTTTTTTTAATTTCTTTCAGCATAACAGTATTCATTGTTTTTGCACCACACCCAGTGCTCCAGGCAATCCGTGCCCTTCCCTAATACCCACCACCAGGTTCCCCCAACCTCCCACCCCTGCCCCTTCAAGACCCTCAGGTTGTTTTTCAGAGTCCATAGTCTCTCGTGGTTCACCTCCGCTTCCAATTTCCCTCAACTCCCTTCTCCTCTCCATCTCCCCATGTCCTCCGTGTTGTTATGCTCCGCAAATAAGTGAAACCATATGATAATTGACTCTCTCTGCTTGACTTATTTAACCTTCTTAACCCTGGACGCTCTTCCCAAATTCCTAAACTAGGCTAGACTTTTCTGGTTAAGAGTATGTTTTGTGTAAAGGACCATATAGCCACTTAAATTCTTGTACCAGGGGACAGACATGCCCCCCCACCCCACAGGGATGGAGAGGGTACTGGGCTCATAGACAGCCCCCACCCCCTCAGAGGCAGTGGCAACCCTACCACACTTCCCACAGGGACACCCCACAGGGACACCCCACAGGGACAGGGAAGGTAGTGGACTCAGAAACAGCCCCCCCCACACCCCACAGAGACTGACAACCTACCCCACTCCCCACAGGGGCGGTGACAGACACCCCCATACCCCCACAGGGACTGGACTTCAGGACAGCCCTCCACACCGGGCAGGGACTGGACGGGACTCCGGGACAGCCCCCCATCCCCCACAGGGACTGGACTCCGGGACAGCCCCCCACAGGGACGGGACTCCGGGACAGCCCCCCATCCCCCACAGGGACTGGACTCCGGGACAGCCCCCCACACCCCACAGGGACGGTGACAGCCCCCCATACCCCAAAGGGACTGGACTGGACTCAGGGACAGCTCCCCCACACACTCCACAGGGACAGTGACAACACCGCACCGGGGGGGGGGGGGGCAAGTCTTCCTCCACATCCACACGCTGCCGGGGCAGACTTCCTGAAAGACCAGGCTCGCCTCCCCACGCGCCTAGCGAGCCCACTCCGCGCACTCACGGAGTCCTGGACGCAGGCCCTCAAGCCGGCCCGTGGCCGCCGACTCAACTCCCAGAGTGCAGGAAGTCCCCTCACCTTTCAAGACCTGGCGCCCTGGGGTCACGGGAGCCGCCATGAGAGACCTTAGGAAGCGCACCCGTTACACCGCTCCAAGGCGGGCGAGCCAGGAGTGACACTGAGCATGCGCCAGAGCTGACGTGCGCGCAAGCGCGCGCCCTTGCCTTCCAGCTCCACGGAAATCCGCTCATCCACGTTTTCTAACAGCCCAAGGAGGGTGGGAGAAAAAATGTGACCGTCTCTGCTTGCCTTAAAGGGGCCAGAGGGTTTTCCCTGCGCCGGGTCGCAGCTCGCCTCCAGTCTGACATCGCTGATCAGGGTTCTCCCCGCGAGTATGTTCTGTCTGCTTGGGAATTACGATTTCGGGTGTCCCAGAAAACCCAATCATAGTTCCGTTTCCATAAGGACACTCAGAAGCTTCCCGGAGCCTCGCTTGGCCCACCTGGGATCTGCGGGAGAGGGAGGGGCGCCGTCGTAGTTCGCAGCCCCTATGGGTCTCCGTCCGTCCGCGAGCACCGGGTCCCCGGGCGCCGCCCTGTAGTCAGCGCTCAGTTACCGCTCGGAGGGCCCGACCACTGCCTTCTCCGTCCCTGAGAGCGCCTGCGGGGAAGGTGGGCGCCCCTGGAGACCCTGGGCTTCAGATTCCCGCTCGGGGGGGGGACACTGGACCTCATCCCGCGGGAGGGAAAGGGAGGAGCCAGGTCTCAGACACCGCTGGAGGGACCCCAGGTCTCCGACCCCACTGGGGGGACCCTGGACCTCAGATACCGCGGGGGAGAAGGGAGGAGCCCAGTCTCAGACCCCGCTGGGGGGTACCCCGGACCTCAGATCCCCTCTGGAGGGGGTACCCTGGACCTCAGATCCCGCGGGGGAGACGGGAGGAGCCAGATCTCAGACCCCACGGGGCGACCCGGGCCTCAGATCCCCGCTGGGGAGATACCCAGGGCGTCAGATCCCGCAGTGGGAGAGCGGGGACCCCGGTCTCAGACCCCACTGGGGGAACCCGGGACCTCAGATCCCCGCTGGGAGGACACCCCGGACCTCAGATTCCCGCTGGAGGGGGGACCCCGGACCTCAGATCCCACGGGAGGAAAGGAGGAGCCAGGTCTCCGACCCCGCTGGGGGGACCCCGGACTTCAGGTCCCATGGGGAGACCCTGGACTTCATTCCGGCTGGGGGCGGCGGGGCGGGGAACCCTAGACCCCTGACAGCAGCTGTGGGCGTCCCGCGCTAGGCCGTCTCACTCGAGCTTTGCCGGCCGCAAATCCCGGAGCGGAATAATCCGGGCGGGAGCGGAATAATCCGGGCGGGAGCGGGCGAACCCGGCAGGAAGCTCGTGGGATCCGCTCTAGGAAGCAGCCCTGCGGGAGCGCAGCTCACCCTCCCGGGGATTCAAACCTCCCGCCCGCGGAGCCCCGCCCACGCCTGCAAGTCCCGCCCCCGGGCTGCACGTGCTTGTCCTGCGGGAAGCGGCTAGCCAAGGCGGGGTTGCGCGAGTTCCCAGGGTTCCTGGAGAGGACGGTTTTTAAGGCAGGAAAGGTCTTGTTTGGCTGCTGATAAAAACCGTTTAATCTCCCTGAAACGCCGAATCCGTTGAAGGATCCATGCCCTCTGTATTAAAGGATGAACCACCGAATGTATAAAATCCTTCATTTCCAATGATTTCAGTGCCTTCCATGCCTTCTGTTGTGTAAAACATTCCATTCCCAGGCTTAATGAGAAGCACACATTAAGGGAATCCCTTGTAACCTAATGGTTAAAATACAGGCTGCATTACGAAATCAGTCTGGACCTGGAGTTTGGAGACTGGCATCAGCCACTAACCAGATCTGAGATAATGACGAGTTACTAAAACTTTGCAAGCTTTTTCCTGCTTAAAAAAAAAAAAAAAAAAAAAAGTAATCCTTAATAATAGTAGAAATAATAGCTGACGTTTGTTGAGCACTCTATCATGGACTTTAGATGTATTATCGAAGTTCATCTTACCTATGAGGTGAGTGTTGGTGTTACAATTTACAAAGCACTTGTGTACATCTATGCATTTCCTCCTAGACACTTATTAACATTCTGTATTTTTTAACGTGTTTATTATATCCTGGAGACCAATGGGGGACTCATTCTCTGCCCCCCCCCATCTCCTTTACAATTAAAAAAACTTCCTGTTATTCCGTACTTCAGATTACTTGATGCTCAGGAAGGCCCTGCTAGAAAAAGTAAGCAGGGGCACCTGGGTGGCTCAGTCCTTAAGTTTACAACTCTTTGATTTGCGTGCAGGTCATGATGTCAGGATTGAGATGCAGGGAGCCTGCACCAGGCCAGTGCTCAGCTGGGAGTCTGCTTAAGATTAAGACTCTCATAGGCGAGTGTGCTCTCTCTCTAAAATATTTTTTTAATTTACGAGAACAATATAATCCCATTTATATGCATAAACAATACAGTCCAAGAGAGGCACCTGAGGCGGCATAGCCAGGAACTGGTGGTTTTGGTTGGAACTGGAAACCATACACTTATCATCGTTTTTTTAACTAAATACAGTGGCAGGGTGTATGTCTGAGAATACGGACTACCATCTACCACACCGTGGTTCTAAAGAATTACCTTGGTCATACACAGTCCCCAAGCCCCACTTGCTAGACTCAGATCTCTGATCGGTAATTATATCATCAAACTGTTGACCTAACAAACTCTGAGGAAATGGTAACACCCTTTTTTGGGGTAGAGTAGGCTTAGCTCATTATTGACGATAAAGCCTTTGTCTCACCAAGTAAGTGATTTAGAATCCAGTAATGACACAATAACCAATCACCACCTTTGCCTTGTACAAAAGGTGGTATAAAAGCTCAGTATCTGATAGTCTCAGTTTCAAGGTCACAGATATTAGCTCCTCTTTCCTCTAGAAATGTTACAGTTTTAGGTTTTATATTTCAGTTTCGGATCTATTTTGAGTTAATTTTTGTATATGGTAGAAATATGGACCTAAGTTTGCATATAGATATCCAAATGTTCCAGCATCATTTTTTTTAAAGATTGTATTTATTTATTTGACAGACAGAGATCACAAGTAGGCAGAGAAGCAGGCAGAGAGAGAAGTGGGGGAAGCAGGCTCCCTGCTGAGCAGAGAGGCCGACCTGGGGCTATATCCCAGGACCCTGGGATCATGACCCCAGCCGAAGGCAGAGGCTTTAACCCACTGAGCCACCCAGGTGACCCCCAGCACTGTTTTTTGATAAGCTTTTTGTCTGCTGCATTCATGCCTTTGTATCTTAGTCAAAATCTGTTGTGCATAGATGTGTGGCTTATTTTTGGAGTTCCCATCGGTTCCATTAAGCTACTTGTCTATCTTTATACCAACATTGTACTGTTTTGATTACTGAAGATTTGTAAATATGTTGTAAAATCAGGTAATGTAAGCCCCCCAAAAAACATTCTTTTTCAAAACTGTTTTATATATTCTAGATCTTTTGTATTTCCATATGAATCTTAAAATCATCTTGTCACTTTCTATCCAAAAATAAAAAGGCCTGCTGGAATTTTGACTGGGATTATGTTGAATCTCAGATCTATTTGAGGGAGAATTGACATCTTAAAAATATTAAATCTGGGGCACCTGGTTGGTTCAGTCAGTAAAGCCTGCAACTCTTGATCCCAGGGTAGTGAGTTCAAGCCCCACATTGTGTGTGGAGGCTACTTTA